CATAATCCCATTTGCTGTTTGTGACCATGCAGCCCTGACCTGCGGCTGTTGTGTTCCTGTGATCCCACCATGAATAGGCTGCCTCTGTTCTGCCATGGGCTTCCATGGCTAGCCAAATTTTGTGATTCTTCTTTGTGTTTTTTTTTTCTACCATATAGAATCTTCACTTGTGAAGTTATTTTTCTTGAAGTGACCCCCTACATTTTTTTTCCCAGGGATTCCTAGAATCAACTGTGGGCAATGTGAAGAAGAAAACGAAAATGGCAAACCATGGTATAATTAAGGAAAGATGAGCAGAAGTGATTCAAAGATTAATAAAACTCTACGAGATACTAGAAGAGTATTTAGATTGTGTCATTTTATATGGTTGAAAAAGTGAGCTAGAAAACATCAGAGTGGGATCTCAGAGGATTTTCCTTTTATGCCTTCAGTTATGACAAACAGTACTGGCTTTATCACACAGTTATTGGGAACTTTTGCTCAGAACTTGGGTTCTACAAGCTTAGTATGTCTGTGTGGCACAGAGTGCTCTGAGCTCTGGGTAGTCATTTCTGACACCATTCCTCCCAGGATTTTACATCCTTTTCGTTCTTGTGTACATTTTCCTCAATTTCCAAAGCTGAGGTTGCCCCTGCTCAACCTTTGCCTCCTGACTGCAGCCAGCTGCCCTGTGCTCCTGTATACCAGCTGAGAAGCTTGATGCCACCTCTTGTGTCACCACAGGCAGCTTCAAGGTCTGGTTATAAAAAGTAATTTCTGCTTGAAGATAAAACCTCACATGGTGCTGTGGTATTGTGCATCATTTTGTCTTTAAAAGAGTTGTATCTGTAACATTAGGTGAATGGTAAATACATTATTGCTATTCAGATGTTACAGTGAAAGAACTAATTTATTACTTTAATTAGTTTGTAGTGCACTTTACATTAGTGTAATATGCAATATTGAAATAATGAACTGAAAAAAGGTGTGTATGCATTCTGTTCAGCACAGCAATTTAATAATTCACTTGGCAAAAACTCCTCTAATAATACATGAACTGTGAAATGTACTTAAAATACCATTTGTAATTAAAAACTTTCAGAACCTAATGTTGGCAGTGCTTGTACTGCTAAAATGAAAACTGTTTTGTGGAACAGGCAATGGGAAAGCCAGGTTTCAGTGTATTTTCAATATTAGTTTAACTCCCAGGATTTTTTTAATATTTAAATAAAATATTTACTGTTGACACAGTAGAATATACCCTTCTGATTTTGAGCTCATAGGAGTGGAAGAACGCAATCAAGAACATGTTAATTTTTTTTGTGCAGTCTGTGGTCCCGGATTGTTGCTGCAGTAAAGCAGAATTATTGTTTGGGAGGTTTTTTGTTCTCCAGGCCTGCATGATCCTGCCTCTGGAGATGAAATCCCGACGAATGCAGCAGGCTTTCTTGGCACACTTCAGGTGTAGGAACTCTGGCGATTCAGCACCGGGTGGTCCCTTTGGAGCAGCAGAAGCAGGAGATGCTCCCTGCAGAGCTTGCCCAGCCTGGTGCTGTTCCACAGCAGTGCCAGGGTGGGACTGCCCAGAGCAGGAAGTGCAGCTCAGGCTTCGCTCTGTCCTGGCTCACCACGAGCCAGAGTCCAGGTCCTCATTTTTAATCTGTTACCACGTGGACAGCACTGCTTTGGGAACCTCTCTTGCCACCTCTTGAAGATGTGGATTCCCCTTCCTGGCACACAAAGTGATCTGGGGCTGTGAGACTGGAACTGCTCTTGAGCACAGAGGATTTTAATGTTCAAATGTGGTTTAAAATTGAAATATATGGTATTTTAATCACCTGGTTAATGTAGAATTTTTGTTACTTCTTACACTTCACTCTACCTCTGCTCTGTTAAGAACATTTTATCCTATATGATTTCAATTCTTCTTCTAGGAAAAGCCACGTCATTAAGACCAGCCTACAGAATCAGAGTCACATATCGTATTTTGCATGCACTGATTTTCTGGATTTTACTAATGTCCCTTTTGTTTTGTTTTGTTGGGGGCTTTTGTGTGTGTGTGGGGTGTTTGTTTCAATTATGTCCTTTTTTGTCACAATTATAATTTTTTTTTTAAGGGAATCATTCTTCTTTTGCCCTAATGAAAAGGGAGAGGATTAGACAAACATGGGATGGAGCAGGGATAATCTAAACTAATTTCATGTGCTGAATACAGAAAATAATAACTGAGTATTGTAAACAAGTATGGTACAGTGAAACTCTCCTCTGGCATCCTTGTTACCCATTTTTCTAATTGGTCTTGGGCTCATACATTTAAAATCCTAACTAAAAACCAAAAAAAGTAGATTCAGTATTGAAATATAAAAAATGGAAAGTGTGTTCTGCCCCCTGAGTAAATGTATGTGTTAGTAGTGATTTAGGGCAGAGTAGGGAGCATTGTAGGAGTGGAGATACACACTGAGTTACTGGCCTATCACTTCTGTCTGGGGAACACTACTGTGTGATTAATGCTTTGTCAGCTTAGTGAAGTTCTGAATTTGATGCTTAGTTATGCTCATTTGTTTGTACATAACCTATCAGAAACCTAGATTGTGCCCCAATACTGATTTCTGACTTGGATCAAAGGGCTGTGAGGAAAGAACTGTTTGGAAACAACACCAGAAGGTGATGGTGGCACAGGGGTGGGGTGTCACACACACCATGCAAACTGCTGCTAATGAAATGGGTTAATAGGGAGGCTTGAGATGATTTCAGGACAGATTAGTGTCTGTGTCTGCTCACTGCTTCAGTGTGCTTTGCTTCCCTCAGTCAGTTGCCATCGTCCCAGACTCCCTGCAGGGCCCTCTCTGTTCTCCATGGGCATTTCCAGGCACTGGTTCCCCTGAAGCATCAGGGAAATGCAGCTTTTGTTGAGACCAGTTTATTAATGGCTGCAATCAAACAACCAAACAAGTCCCTGGTTGATGCATAAACGAATATCCAAAGACTACTAGAGGATCAGGAGAGTTCTCAGACATGGAGGGAACTAAAGCTGCATCATGAACTGCACCCGCTGGCACTGACCTCAGTATTGGAGAGCATTTGAAAGGAGTGGGAAGCAGGATGTAGGGAAATCCAGGCTTACAAAAAGCAATTTTTTTTTGTTACATAATCTGACTGTTACCTCATATCAGTTGAGAAAATCTGTGATGTTATTACAGAAGTTTAAAGCTCCTTCAAATGCTCCTGTGGCTTATCTCATCTCCAATCTGAGTATGCTTTTTGCAGATTTCATTCACTGCTTGCTTGTTGTTAGATTTTAAATCTTTCTATATATGGTTTTGCTTCAGTCTGTTTCAAAAGCAAGGTAGAAAGGATTGCATGTTCTTCTGGCTCATTTTCAAAGAATTTTTTTGAGTTCATTAGGGTGGCAAGTGAAGGGTAACTGAAACAATTTAGTATTTTATTTTCAATTCCTAAACCACTAAACTGCATGAGCAGGCTGCTGCCCAAATTGCTACATGAAAATTTTAATTTCAACAGCCCTGGTGTCACAAGTTTCAAGTGTGTGTGAAGCTTGATTCGGGTGTTGCAGCTGCGGCTGAAGGGACCTCTCCAGACCCCGAGGTCTCTCCCACCCAAGCAGGTCAGGTACAGCTGGTGACTGTGTGGAATCCAGGTTTAAACAGCCCTGCTCAGCATGTTCTAGCACTCATCCAGCCTCTCAGCAGGGAAGTGATGAATGCATTGGAATTTCAGGTGTTTCAATCTGTGCCTGTTGTTTCCCCCCCCCCCCCCCCCCCCTGTCACTGGGCACCTCTGGAAGAGCCTGGCTCTGTCCTCTTTTCACCCTCTGTGTTTTCAGGTTATTTTCATTTTATCACTTTGCCTGCACTTCATGAGAAGTCACAGTATTGTTCAGTGTATTGCAAAGAAAAAAATATAATTATTGTAGCAAGAAGCAGGGTAAGCATGGCATCATTCAGGGATGAAGCTCTCTGAGAACCTTGGACCATGGGGAGTGCTGAATTTCTAAACAGGACATCTTTTATAAGCACAAACCAGAAGAATTAATAATCTACACACAGCCAGTGAAATGCACTTAAGGTGGAAAAACTATAAGCATTTTCATATCTTTGTTTTAAAGTGCTGTAGTGTAGAAATCCAGCTGAAAAATGGCTGCAATGCTTGTTCATTAGAGGAAGGCAGAGTTCTGTTAGTGTTTGACAAATCTATTACAAAAAGAGCTGGCAAGCCAACAAAAAGGAGATATCATTGATCCTGTAGAAAGCAGTGTGAAACATGAGCACACAAGTGCTTGTGGGCCACACCGGCTGGGGCACTGCAGGTGAGTCCCTGCCTGTGGCCAGGTGTGGGGACAAGCTGTGTCCTTTAACCAGCACAGTCAGGATCGTGTCAGGAATGGATTTTTGGCACGCTGGGCTGGGTGGTCCGTGCCGCCCCGAGAAGTTTTGTTAGGAAGCGTGGCAGGCCCTGCAGCAAGGGGTGCAGGGAGCGTAGCCCCATCCTGCTGTGCCGGGCAGCACTGCCTCTCTTCCCACAGAGGAGTGGGTGCCAGGCGTGCAGGACCCCACAGGCTCTGAGCAGGGGTGCCAGGCTGGGCTGCACCAGCTGTGCTGACAGAGCTGAAGTCCCTGTCACTGGAGTGAGCCCTGGGTGTGAGCAAGGTGCTGTTACAGGAGTGCCTGTGCCAAAGGCTGCAAATGCACTCTGCTCTGTGACTCTTGGTCTCCATTCATTCATAGGTCCTAAGTGCTGAAGGGAGATGTGAATTACCAAGCAGGTTTTAGCAATTTTGCCTCAAAGCACTTCATGTGTGATTTTATTGCATATTATGCTATCAGTTGGGAACTGCACATGAACATGCAGCAAGGTGGTGCTTGCTAAATGGTTGTGTTGTTGATAAGATTATCAAATTTACTTTGTAAGCAGATTACATGAGTTTCCTTCCCAGTCTCAGCTTGGCAGGATCAGTGTTACACAGTCTGCTGCAGGACTGTCTCTTCAACTGCTTCTTCCAGGTTCTACAGTGGAAAGCACAGCAGGAAGAAGCTGCTAAACTAGAAGCTGCTGTAGCTGCCAGAAGAAAAGAAAAGGAAAATGAGAGAGAAAGGCTACAGAGAGAACAGGAAGCCATTCGTAGAGCTCAGGATAAAGAGAAAGTATGAGAAACCTTTATACATTTTTGCATATATTAATGTGTGCCATTGCTTCTAAAATCTATAGCTGATCTTGTAGCATACGTATTCTTGTAAAGTAATATGTATTGATTTAGAGATGGGCAAATGGTTAGTTAGGTCTTTCTCCTGTCAATTTCAGCTCTAAAGCTGCCTGAGCTGACACACCAGTTATGTTACTCTATTGCATTTCTTAGGGAAAAAAGCCTCAGCAAGTGACTGTGTCTGTCACAAAACAAGCACAGATGCATGGCAGGGTCTGACTGCACAGGGCTGTGCTTTGAGCAGCATGGCAGCCTCGGGAAGCTGCCAGTGCTGCAGCTGTGTGCTGCAATGCAGCAGGGGAGCCTGGCAGCACAGTGCCTGCAGTGCAGCACAGCTGCAGGGGCACCCCTGAGGGGACAGTGTTCCCAGGGCTTGTGTGCTGACTCCTTGGGAAATGCCTTGGATGCAACTTAACAGACGCTCAGAAACGCACTGCAGTGAACGTAATGCTTTAGAAAGCAGAAATGTGTGTGGTTGTTTCACTGAGACTTTACCTCTGAGTCCAGTGGCACAGAGAGGGACATTTAGTGAGGGTTTGCTGCTGCTTCTCTTTTTGTTCCAGCTCCTTCTGTGTATTTGCCTTTGCACACACGGCGTTTGTAGCGGCAGGTGGCTCTGAAACCACAGGGAAGGAAGAGGTTTAGAGCCAGTGCTGACCCAACCACCACCAATATTAATTTTATCTGTAAATAATCTGGTTGTGCAAACTTTTCTCTTGCTGTGTGTAATATCTACATAGAGCAGCCCTCTGCCTATGCACAGATGGAAAAGCAGCTGTTTGGGGTCAGCAGTCATATGTTTCATTGGAGTATTATACATCCTAGATTCTTAAAAGGGCTGATAACCTTATACTACAGCTGCTTTTCTGGGGAATGCAAGCAGAATGGAAGTGGTAGTCTTCAAATTGTGGTAGAAAAATATATTCAAATTAGTGGTCACAGTCTGATTTTACTACTTTTCTTGTGGGGGCTCCACACCCTCTTTCTCTCCTAGTAAATATTCTGCTACCTTTTAGTGCTCTAAATAGAAATTTTATTCTAAAAGGATTGAAGTTGGAATCTCTAACTTAATGTGTTTGTTCTCACTGTCTGGCCTTTGGAATGAGTGTTAATTTGTTTGCTGTATTTGGTCAAACTCTAGCTGAAAAAATACTGGGCTGAGAAAGAGCTCAAGTGGCTAGAACAGGAGGAGAGAGATCTACAACAACTGGAGGAATTGAGAAAATTAATGGCTGAACAAGTAGCCAAAGACAAAGAAAGGTAAAATAAATTAAATGTGAATACCTTTAGTATCAATAGGATCTTCTTATAATCTAATTTGCTTTGATCTCCTGACTTTCTTTTTTAGAATAAATTGAGGATTAGTATATTTTTTTCCTTCCTGTTCAGCAAATGCTTCAAGCCATATAGTAAGGTTACAATCTAGGTGATCGTATCCTAGTTGCAATTTATTTCAGTTTGAATTAATTAATTAACATCCATCAAAATTTCAGACCATTGTAAACACTAAATGTCATAAAATGTAGCTGAGTTATAAGACCTTCTATAGGTCTTTTTATAAAAAAGACTTTCACTTTGCATACTGATTCATAATCAGGTTTGGTTTGTTTGAGGGACAAGTGCAAGGAATACATTCAGCATTTAACAGATTAAGAGATATTTATTGTTATCTTAGAGTCCTAAATTGCTCATCTAGTTGTAGATGCTTTTCACCTGTTTGATGCGATTTAGGACTTAAGCCTGCTCAGGCTTGATTGCCAAGTCTTTGTTGCATAAGATGACCTTTCATAGTCTGTTGAAGAAATACTGGATTTCATAGAGGAATCCCTGTGTGAGAGGAACATAAAACCCCTGTGTGTAGTCTGGTTATAACTGCTCTCAAAGCACAGGCTGACTCTTTTTACATAGAGGAAGCCACCAATTTGTGTGGACCAAAAGTGCAATAAAAATAGGATTAAAATGCCATTGGCATTAGAATATTAAAGTTGGTTGTAAGGATTCTGTCGGAAACACTACTTGAGTATTACTTTCTTAGGACACCTTTCTGACAGCTTAATTTAAATGTCTACATCCTTATGCTACAAATATACCTCTGCCTTTCCTTAGACATGCCTGCAGTGGTTTTAGCTCCTAGGAGAAGGAACACATGAAACTGCAGATTTAAACTCCTTCAGGCTGAGAACGGAGACTAAAACTGTCTGAGCAAGAGCTCTGATTACTGGTGTGTTGTCATAAAAGGTCTGGGCTGGCCACATTTGAAAAGGAAAGCAGAGAGTTGTGGTTCTGTTTTTGCTATGAGATTCTGCTCTCCAGGGCCGAGGTGTGGGCGCTGCAGCTTCCCCGTGCCCTCAGAGCAGCTCTGTGTGGGCTCACCTCCCTCATCCCACCTCAGGGCTCTCACACACCCCCCTGAAACTCTCCTGGGCTCTCCAGACATAGCTCATTATTTCCTATTGAAAATTTTTGAGACAGTGTCTGAAAGCAGAGCTTTAATGAAAATATGCTTATCAAAAATTACACAAATGTGTACCTGCAATGCTACAAAAGGTACCTTTACTGAAACGAATCAGTTATGCTCATTTATCAGCTAATGATTTATTAAAATTTTACTTACTATGGTGCTTAAAAGCAAAATTAAGTATTAAGATACTTTGATTTTGAGGTTTTCGATAAAATTAACTTTATGTAGAAGGAATAGTAGCTAAAATGTTGCCAAGTGTAATAGAGTGAAAGAGAATGAAGAACTTTATTTAGATGTGGACAGGGTGAAACCAAAGCTTGAGTAAACATTGAAGCCAAGTCTAAAAAAGCATTGGAAGGGCGTTCCACCTTAGGAACGTGATGTGCAGTTGAGTATGTATTTCCAAGGTGTCTGCCTTCCCTGAGTGTGGATTTCATAGCGGTGCCATTGCCTACTGACAATGACACTCCATCTTTGCTAATGCATGGCCACTCCTGTAGAAGGACTAACAGTGACATCTCAACAAATATGTATAGCTGCATAAGGAACAGACTCTGCACAATAGTCTGAAAATGCCTGCAGTGAAAGTTAGAGCAGCACAGTAGTGCTGTGTGTAAAGTTCTGGAGTTACTGGTGTGAACCTCCAGCTTTTTCCTTTGAAAGAAGGGTGTAAGTCTCAATTTGTTTTTCTTTTTCCAGTGACAAGACTGGGAGTGAGGTGTTTCTTTTAATAGAAAGGGTTATAGGAAAGATTTCTTCTGCCATACACAGATGTGAGAGAACATTTCTTCTTGGCAAAGAAATTGGGGGAGGAAAAAAGAGTACCAGGGCTATATAAAGGATGCTAGGGAAAATCTGCGGTCTAGACATGGAATATGAAAGGTTAGCCAAGTTGTTTAAAAGGACAACTGACCAGCCAAAACCCACCGAGAAACAAATCAAAAAGCACAACTCCCCAAACTCCCCTTCCCCAAAAAACCCAAACCGAAGAACTCCAACAAGAAGAGCACATTGAAATGAAAAAGCACCTTTGCGTTCTGAGGTGTTTTGATAAGCCACCATGGCCTCACCAGGTAGGTCTAGAGAGACTCAGAGCAGCTTTGGAGCTGAACTGGCTGGCAGCAGGGGAATGTGGCGGTGCCACTGCCCGGCGTGTCCGTGTGCTCGCAGGGTGCAGTTCCGACGAGCCTTGCTGGAGAAGCGGCTGCAGGAGAAGAAGGAGCTGGCCCTGCTCCAGGCCCGGCAGGAGGAGGAGAAGGAGAAGCGCCTGGAAGCGCTGCGGCAGCAGGTGGGCTGGCCCTGGGGTTCACACGCACTGCCACCGGCACCCGCTGCCAGGCAGGCAAAGATAAAAGAACAATCTCTCAAAAGCAAATAAAGGAACAAGGTAAAAGGCACTTTAGCTCTGACCAATAGTAATTCCCTCCTGTTATAAATCCTGTGTCCTTTGTAGCTGTGACAACAGGAACATTATGACATTAAATTGTACTGTAGGAGCTGCTGATATCAGAGAGGAGATAGAGAAGGGTTTTTTTCCAGGTCAGATGTGATTTTTCTTCTGTGATTTTTTTCTGGATTTTGTTTGTTCTAATAACCTTAAGTCTGCCTTGAGTCTAAGGCAAGATTTATGAGTAATTTATATTATTTTTAAATTCTGAAAACTTGTACACCTTGGGTGACTTTTCTTCAGAGATATTTCAGTCTCTGAAACTTTTGCACATTACTTTTAAAAAGACACCCATAAAATACTTACTAATTCTTCTAATGTCATACAAAAAGTAGTGCTAGGGCTCTTTTTTTTAGACTGCTGACTTTTGAAAGAGTAATTTTGTCTTAAGTTACATTTTTGTATGTAATCTCCTTGTTTTTTTCTCCAAAGAGGCTGGTTGGTAGTCATGATCTGTTGAGCTCTTTCCACTGAGTCAATTCTCTTGCCAGAGTAGAAAATGCTTCTAGAAGGGCCTTTGCCTGGGATGTTGATACACCCACTTCATCATACTTCTCTGATCAACATCTATTCTCTGTTTCACACTAATGAAATCCTGCTTCATAAAGTATGTACAATGTTTTTATGGCGAGGGCAGGGGGGGAAGATCTTTACTAAAGTAATTTGGCCTGTAGATTTTGGCAGCCTGTAAATACAAAGGTGATATTTTATTAAAGAGATGGATGAAAAAACTATTGTATGCAATTTACAGTATTTTTTTTCTGGTTTTAGCCATTCTTCATATGGGCTTCTGACTTTAGCTATTTTGCTCATGCATCTTTCTGTATTTTTCCAAAGTAGTATTAGTCTGTATCTGAATATTTTAACACAAACAATGTAAACAATGAAAAAATATTAACTGGCACAATACAGCGTCTGGGAGTCTTTGATATTGATCTAGCTACAGGAAATTACACAGTTAAAGCAGATGCACTTCAGAAAAAAAAAAAAACAGAGTTGTGTTATTTGGGGCATATCACTCAATGCTGCTGCCCGTGACTCTGTAAAATTGTGAACTATCACCCCGAACACCTTTGTTCCTGTTGAAAGAAAAAGAAGAAAGTCTGGAGTTCCAGGAATTGTGGGTATTGCAGAGTTTTGAGGCTGCTGGGTTGGACACTGGAGCTCATGTCAGTGTCTGTTGCAGAGCTCAGGGTGCTGTTGCTTCTCTCACATGTCCTTGTGCCCAGGCTGCCTCTGCAGCTGGGACCCTGTGTCGCTGTTACAGGGTCACTGCAAAGACACTGAATAATGGTGTTCTCAACGGGGGTGCTCCCGATAATGACCTGCTCTCGCCTTAGCTCTGCATAGAGTAATTGTTACTTTCACACTGTGTCTTTAGGTTGCCATTGTTGCAAAATTAGATCCAGCCAGAGCAGTGGCTGACACGGTGGCATCAAAAGCTCGGATGGGCATTGGAACCAGTGACGAGTTTGAGCTGCAGCAGCCCCTGTTCAGGTTGCACACGTACAGCGAAGAGCAGGTAATGGGCTGTAATCGTGCTGTGTAAGTGAATCAGGAACTGAACTGGCCGTACTCGTGTTTCAGGGCACTCAGGCTGCTGAGGAGGCTGCTCCCTCAATTTCAAATGCACTCAAGGAACATCTCGATACCTTTAAATTCCCTCACTGTTCCCTATCTGCTCAGTCAATGTATTTGCAATTATTTCCACTCTGGAATTCGAAAATTATTTATGAAAAGAGAAGAGCTATGGTACAACCCTGCAGTGTAAAAGCTTTCTTTTGACACTGAATAAGATAAAATTTAACAATGTCTATAGCTAAAGTTGTCCAGCACTGCCCATTTTAAGACATTTTAAAGCTTCTCAGTTTAGTAATGGAAAGATGTGTGTTTTGTTTGGTTATTAAAATTCCCCAAATCTGACCAATATATGAGGTTCTGACAAACCTTAATGATGCTTTGAACATGTATGTTTGGGTCCTATGTCTTAATTCTCAGCATTCTCTTTCTGCTTCAACTCCAGACGGGTTTGGTGCTGCTCGAGCTGCAGTATGTGATCCCCACCAGCACATCCCTGTGCTCCTTCCCAGAGCTGCAGGGGCTGTGGATCGTGTGCCCAGTGCTGGTGTCCAGCAGCTCGGGGCACTGGGGAGGTGATGCTGGAACTGGAAGCAATGTGTCGCTCTTCCTTGTACTTCCAGTGCAGTCCCACTGCAGACCATGCAACAGGGATTGGAAAGATGCTTACAAATTTTGTCAGATAAACTTTTGACAAATTCCAGAATTAATTTCCCTCAGATTAATTGTCGTTCTGACAAATGGAAGTGGCACTACCATGTAAGCCCAAGGCTACACTGTGAGAAAAAACATAAAGGCATTTGAAGCACTTGGATTGCCATAGGAACAACCAGGAGGAGATTGAAGTCTGTGCTGCACTTGGGGCTGTGTGCATGGAGAACATGGGGGAGGCAGCAGCTCCTCAGGGAGCTTTTTGGCTTCTGTTGATCATTGCTGTGTTTTTTTTAACAGGTCATTTCTGACCCCAGGCTCCGTGTTGAGCTCGCTCTCCGAGAAGCTGGACTGCATAAAACACTTTATGCAAGAGAGGTTTTGTCAAAACTTCCACCACCGAAGCTTCCAAGAAGAGACATGGAATCTACAGCTTTTAAAATGTAGAGCATGTCTCATCTGAGGGGCAGAGCAGCATCAGAGCTCTGGTCTGGCCCACAATACGCAAGCCTTAAATTCCCTTGGGTTTTCCTAGAGCTGCTCAGTTCCCAGTGTGTGCAGCCATTCCCCTGTGAGCTGTGCTGCACCACGTTACACCTGCCCGGTGTGGGTCTGGAGAAGGCTGGGCTCTGTGCTCCTGGAGTGGGCTTGCCCATGTCCCTGGGAGCTGGGACACCTTGCTTAAGGACTCCTACACACAGCCCAGGCCAATCTGATGTGCAGCACCTTGAGTAGGAACTCTTGGGATTTAATTGGCAGCAGAAGTCCAAAATAGCTTTGCACAGCAATTACTTTAGATTTTATTATATTACATGAATAAATCCCACTATTTTCTTTCAAGGTTTCTTGAGAATTTGATTCTTTTCATTATAAGATCTTAATTGCCATGAATGTTTCTAGTATTCCTTGTTTGTAAGATGAAACTTAAACCTTTGTCTATATTTAGAAGACAACTTGCTGCATCATATTTACTGCAAGCCAGTCATTCAATTTCATATTGCAGATTAGTTTTTCAGCATAAATTATAAATAGAGCTGGGATCTTTATCTCTTCATTTTCTGTTGTAACAGACTTCTGAGACTAAGCACAGGGTCAGCCCAGGAGCAGCATAATGCCAGTGTTGTGGCTGAGTTTAGTGGGGAAATGCTGCAGAGCCTGCCCTGAGCTGGGGGAGTGATGTCTTCTGGACTCGACCATGGTGTGCTTGTGCTAAAATTAACAATTCTGTGTATATTTGTGCTTTTTATTTTGGTATCTCCTTTGGGGTAACTAGTTATTTTTAAAACACGCTTGGCCACCTCAAACCAGCTATTCCTGTGGGGATATTCCTTGGATATTCCTGGGGGGGGACCAGCAGTGCTCTGCTGTGGGGAACAGACTGGCTGCAAGAAAATTCCCAGAAAGGCATCATCCCAAACCTAGGCACTTGATTTTTTTCCCCTTGCCTTTAAAAGCAGACCTACAAGATAAAAAAATTTGCACCACTGAAATTGAAATTATAGTTGTCATAGTTTATAAATACCAAGATGTTAATGAAAAAGCTTAGAGGGAGCAGACATTGGGTTGGAAATAGTGGGCATAGATTTTTAGGCTGAGACTTGTGGTTATTTTCATGTCTGTAATTTCTCAGGGTAGAGAATGAGTAGAAGTCTATAAAGTCTGGGCTACCTCAGTACAATGATAAGTCAGGGCCTTTAGTGATAGAGCTAGGCCAGAATGAGGATTTTGGGTGGGGTTCCACATAACAGTGGAGCATGGAGAACACGCAGGTCAGTAAAAGGGTATTTCACACAGCACTACCAAGGCTGCTCATGCCAGGAGACCCCAAGGCTGCTCTGCAGCCTGACCAGACATCTCTTTCCTGCTCCTGTGGGAAGGAGGTGGATGTTTCACCCTACTTCATAATCCTCACTTTAGCATTGGTCACAACTGATCAGAACCCTTCAGGAAATGGAGATCCTTATAATGACATTGATTTTAATGATAAATCTTTCTACACTTAAAAAAAAATCTTCCAAGTTGCACACGTGAAAATAGTAATTTTAAATGTGTTAATGATAAATAGGCTTCTCAACCCACACCTCTTGTAGCCCTGCTTTGTGTGTTTGGCTGGGTAGGAGTGGCAGTTCAGAGCTCAGGTGTCTTTATGCCAGGAATGAAGCATGGGCAGTTCATTCTCAATCACACTTTCACAAAGCTTGATGAGAATTTCTCTGTGAAAATTAAGTTACTTGGTTTCAAGATAGACTACTTATTTGTGAATTTTGGTAGTGAGAAAAGTGTCTTTAATGTCAAGCAGTGCCTGAAGGTGAACTCCTCAGCTGACCACGGCCGGGTGCTGTGGTGTCCCTCATGTACTCAAACTCTGGCTGGCATGTGCCTGTTTGTGACATCTTTAAATATGGTAGGAATGAAAATCTGAACGGCCTTTGTAACAGCAGTAAGAATAATGGCCACAAATATGGATAAACTTTCATGTTATTTACTTAGGCTTTGTCTTTATGCACAAAGGGATCTCCTTCCTGGAAGAACGCTGCGGACAGGAGTGACCCTAACAGGACAGTCCTTTAGGGCAGCTGGAGGCAGGAGTGAGGAACCTGCAGCTGTGTTCTACAGCCGGAAGGTGCTGCAGCACAGGTGGTAAGGACGGATGGAGGCAGGAGTGAGGAACCTGCAGCTGTGTTCTACAGCCGGAAGGTGCTGCAGCACAGGTGGTAAGGACGGATGGAGGCAGGAGTGAGGAACCTGCAGCTGTTCTACAGCCGGAAGGTGCTGCCAGCGCAGGCGGTGCCAGCCGCGCTGCGGGCCCTGCGGTGCTGCGGTCACCGTCAGTCCGTGCGGACGAGCCCCAGCCGCTTGCGGATGAAGGCGGCGATCAGGCGCTGCGGCCGCTGCTGGTACTCCCACAGCACCTCGTGGGACGCCCGGATCTGGTCCCCCTGCAGCCGGTCCAGGAGAGCCACACACACGACGGCGGCTGCGGGAGGGCGAGTGCGGTCACCTCGCGGCACGGCCCGGCCCGGTCTGAGCGGGCCTCCTGCCCGGCCCTCACACTGCCCGGCCCTCATGGGAGCCCCGGCCCTCACACTGCCCGGCCCTCACACTGCCCCGGCCCTCACGCCGCCCGGCCCTCACGCCGCCCGGCCCTCACACTGCCCGGCCCTCACACTGCCCGGCCCTCACACTGCCCCGGCCCTCACGCCGCCCGGCCCTCACGCCGCCCGGCCCTCACGCCGCCCGGCCCTCACACTGCCCGGCCCTCACACTGCCCGGCCCTCACACTGCCCCGGCCCTCACACCGCCCGGCCCTCACACCGCCCGGCCCTCACACTGCCCGGCCCTCACACGGCCCGGCCCTCACGGGAGCCCGGCCCTCACACCGCCCGGCCCTCACACTGCCCGGCCCTCACGCCGCCCGGCCCTCACACTGCCCGGCCCTCACGCCGCCCGGCCCTCACAGGAGCCCCGGCTCCGCTGCCCTCAGGGCTGCGGCAGCACGGCCGGGACGTGCTGTAGGGCCAGGAGGGGCGAAGGGAGCAAGCTGTTGGTTTGTCCAGCACGCACTCAGGTCTTCTAAGGCACACTTGGGTTTTACGGAGCTATGAAATTTGCTCTAGTGTCCTTTTCTAGATAAAATCATTAAGGATGTGTGTTTGACCTTCTGACACAGAAGAGGACCCTTAGAGGGGGCTTAGCCCGTGTGTGAGGAGGAGGTGGAAGCAACACGACTCACCTTTGAGGCCACACAGTCCACACAGGGCAGCGAATGCAGTGGACTCCATCTCAATATTCCTCACGCCGGCCTCATAAGCCCTCCTTAAGTAGTCCAACTTTTTTTCACTGGAAAAAGAGCATAATGCACCATCTAATCTCCCCTGACCTGGAAAGGAAGCAGAGAACTGTCACTGTTGGCCTTGCACGGTGTCGTGGAGCATAGGTGCAAATGAGAGGTCCAGGAGTGCCCACATTCTGTCTGAGGCCCACAGAGTTTTCCTGTGAGCAGGTGGTTAATTTGTATTCCCCTCAGCGTTAATGCCAGTGAGATGTGTCTCTCTATAGGGGAAAGAATGATGCAGGTTTCAGCCTTGGTGAAAGGTGGAGTCAGCCCTCAGCTGGGAGGTACCAGCGGATGCTGTGCTCTGTGGGAACAGGCCATTGGTGCATATCAGCTGTGAAGTCTGACAGGTTAAATCCCAAAAATGCCAACTGACTCCAGAAGAGGTTCAACAATCTGTGCAGAATGGGAGCACTGAGGAGAGGAAACCCCTTTAATGTGGGTTTAATTTTTCTGCAGGGGCTGCTGCGGATGGAAGCTGGAGCTGCTTGTAGAGGCATTCATAGTGCGGGCAGCACCGGTGTGGTCGGGGAGCTGGTGCCAGGGCACTGGTGCTCCCCTACTGCAGCTCCAGGTACCGCTGCAGGCAGGACTAACATGGTATTCAGGGAGGGCAGCCATCATGACCCTGTTCTCCAGCCCCTCCGCCGTCTCTGGCTGTCCTGCTGTATACTCAGAGCAGACCTGTGCTCCGTGCAGCTCCTTTTCTTGCAGCGTCTGAAGGCCGTGGGGCAGGCAAATGCTTACTTGTGGCTGGCCAGCCTGGACTGCCCTTCAGTTTATTGCTGCTCCTACTTTAATCCTCTCAAATGGCTTTTTGCTTAAATAAAATATGGACTTGAGCAATACACAGATGGCTGCATCTGCAAGCAGATCTAAAGGTTTATAAATAGTGCTCAGATTATTAATTCTTCATTTATTACGTTTCATCTACTCTGCAATCAGCGTTTAATTTTGCAAAGGAAATGGTTCCAGCGTAACCAAAGTTTGTTTATGGAAATCTCACAGGCAACCTAATGTTTTCCTAGTGTTTGGTAGCTCTGAAGTGACAATCTTGCTGTAGGGGAACAGCTTGGTGGCAAATTCAGCAAGGTGCAAGCAGTGGTACTGTGTGTTCCTAGGGTGGCCCCTGCTCTGCCTGGGCCCCCCTGCACCACGTGAATCTTTGCCTGCAGCCCTTCTGGGCCTGGTTCCCTGGATAGCTTTGTCCATGGAAGAGTGGAAAGACTTGGAATTACACATGGTGAGGAAGGACAGACAAAGTTGGTTTTACCTTCGTAGAAGTCGTAGGTGCACATGGTATGGCCAATGAGCGTGGGGAAGTCAGGAATGTCCCTGCTGCAGGTGAGTAGTTCCTCCGCAAGGTCCTTGTCCAGCTCGGTACTCCGCACCACCACATCGTCCAGCACCACCTGCTCAAAACGTGGCCGGAAGGAGGAGTCCACAGCCATGTCGGTGATCACAACAGAGCCGGCCTCAATCCCTGTGGAAATGGAAGCTGAGGCTGACAGAGCTCATAACACCTGTGTCCTGCTGCCAAACTTCAGCACAAGAGGAAAATCTCAATAGATCTACGTGTGCTTGCGGGGCTCTTCTTTTCAGTGAGTAAAGAAGATGTCAGAGAATAACTGAAATTCATGAAGTAGCACAAATGTACAACTGAAATGTTCAGAGTCAGCACAGGATAAGTGATAATGTGTCACTCTCTCCTGTGAGTGACTCCTCCTGTGAGTGACACTCACTCCTGTGAGTGACACTCACTCCTGTGAGTGACAGGAGTTTAGCTGCTTCTGGCTTGCAGCTGCATGGGCAGCACCAGTGACTCAGCCAGGAGACACGGATTCATTTGGGTCACCACTAATCCATATTTTCTGTTTTGAAAGCGACACACAGCTGTAGTGGAATCAAGGCCTTTGTACACTCTGAGAATGTGCACTCTGCCAAGCCAGTCGCTACAAGTTTTCTGGGTTTGACACAAAACACAATACCATGTTTGATATATAGAAAGCTGAAAAATCCTAAAGTTCAGAGCTGAATGACCTTTTTAATGATAGCTGTTTGCTCTGAAGAAAGACCATGAATTGCTTACCTAAGCCCCCAGAAGTACCAATGCGTATAATAGTAACGTCCCGGCATTTTGCATGGTGCAGCAGTTTGATCAGCTCATGAAGCATAATGGAAATAGAAGGGATACCCATTCCATGCTGTTGGAAGGAGAGAAAAAAGAAACATAAGTCCCCATGAGGCTGTGGCATGTGACAGGTACATGACTGCAACAAGCTCAGGGTTAAGCTGTGGCCTCTTCTGCTGATGATGTCAACAGCAGTTTTTTTGAGGGGGAAGAGACATCTTGGGGTCCTTTTAGTCTGTCCAGGTGAAGTGTTTAACCTCTTCTCCTCCCCTAGATGCTTTAAAGGTTCTTCAAGTTAGTAGAGCTGGTGTTCATCCCTGGGGACCCTGTGCGGGTGCATAGATGGTACCTGTCCTTCAAGGAAGGTCCACAAATACATCCCAACATCTGAATGCTCCCAGACCTTCCCCAAACATTGCCAATCATGTGCTGGCTCGCGTTTTGTTGTCTCCTGCTCATGCTCTGGGAGCAGTGAATTTCCATGAGAACAACATGAGCCTTCACTTCTCCATGTGCCTTCCAGCCTGTCCTCAACCCCACTGGAGCATCTCTGCTACATTGCTGGGCACAATGGACAGCAGAAGGGTTTGTGTCCCTTGGTGAGGACAGGCTTCAGGGTCAGGTGTTTGCTGCATGCCTTGCAGGCTGCCTGTCCCTCTTCCTGGCTGACATTCCCTGCCCTGCTGCCCTTCTGTCCCCAGCCCTGCTGCTGGCACTGGCTTGTTCCATCCTCCATGGGCAGTGATGCCCCACTCCCATCTCTGCTGCGGCTCCCCAGGGCTGGCAGATGTTCTGCAGGCCTGCAGCTGTGGGGCTTCTGCTGCATCTGCCCAGTGCTCTGTTGCTTGTTCATCTGTCTTCTGCTCCATGCTAGATCAACATCCTTTTCTTAGCCTTTTAAGTACCAAAAGTGTTTGGTGCTGTGGAGTTTGGTTTTTCCTCTTGAAAATGCCTCACATTTTTTTGTTTTTGCTATCATCTTCAACAACCTGAAGGAAGCATGTATGGAAGCCCCACTGATTAAGTTACACAGCCAGTTTTTGTGTTGTCTCCTTTCTCTTGGCTGTGAGACCAATGCTCTATTTGCCTTGTATCATGTTTTAAATATGAAACCTTTTTGCATGTTGTTATTTTGGAACATCAGCCTGGCTTATTTGCTGATGGCTAAAAAATTAATTCTCATTGTAAATATTCAGAGCTGGAATCTGTGTTCCTGCCCCTGTGTGTTTGAGCTCAGTTGTGTTTCTAAGCAACTTGCAGAAATGTGATATTGGCAGCAGCTCTGCATGATGCTTCCCAGGGCGGCCATGTGCTCTGCCCCGTGTCTCCTTCTGCACTGGCCAAAGTTGGTGCACGGCCACAAGCTCGGTGATGGTTTGCCTCTCGCCATGTCACTGCTGCTGCCAGGCCGGGGAACGGCAAATCTTGTGGCAGTTCTCCCCCTTGGATCCTCTCAGACTGATTCCTTCAGGCTTGACTCCCTTGGTCAGGATTGGTTTGGTTTTTTCAGAGGGACGAAACACGAGCTCTGTTGTGTGAGTGATTCCATCTGCTGTGAATCACACTTCAGGCTAGTCTTGTGCCTGAAGAAATGGAGTCAGGACCAAGATTTTGGGTGTGAATGCTCCCCAGCACAGCCTGTATTTACTTTTTCCTGTGTTCAGTGCCAAAAATCCTGCTCTAAAAGAATAATTAATAATAAGGCCAGCTTTTTCTTTTAGAGCTTGTATCAAGGCAATACTCCCAGCAGCATTTCATAGTTCATGTGTGGTGAGAAGTGGTTTTGCCTCCCAAACCAAGCTGAGCAGAACACGTGCATGTCTGTTATTAATGCGGCCCTTTCCAAATGGAGAGAGCAGGTGCTGAGGAATTCTATTCAAACAGGAGCAGCTTTGCCATGGCTAAGGTTGCACTGGTGGTAGTGGCTGAACAGTGAAAAGAGGGAAAAACTCTGCTGGTGGGTGCTGGGGGAGGCGAGGGCACGTGAAGGAGAGGTCGTGCCAGCCCGTGCCTGTGCCGGAGCAGACGGTCCCCGTGCTGTCTGGCTGTGGGACCCGGCCAGGAGCAGCCCCAGACGGCCCTGAGAGCGCGTCCCCCAGAAATGTCCCCAGCTGGCGCGGGACTCACGCTGATGGAGAGCACGGGCCCTGCCCGGTACATGGCGTAGCGGTCCGACCCCGCGCAGATGTCAGCCACGTCCTCCCCGGCACCCGCCAGCCCCAGCTCCCGCCGCATGAACTGGGCAAATGCCCTCATCCTATTGGGGCTGCCGCCGACGCAGACGAACTGCAATACAATATCAGCGTGTTGGTACTTAGCTAGAACACGAACTGCGAGTCAGCGTGAATGTGGCGGTGGTGGCTGTGCCAGGCACATCTTCCCAGAGAAAGGAGCAGGGTGCCTCTTCCTCACCATCAGTCAAGGGATATTGGAACGCCTGAGGCTCACAAAACCAGGAGTTAACACGAAACCCACCCTGTCACTCTGGCAGGGTGGCGACTGCCCTGGGTCTGGGCAGCCATACAGCTGCACATACTTGGGTATCAGTTCTAGGCAAGAAAATCTAAAATAATTCCACAAATTTGAGCTGGTAGTATCGCCACTGATAGCAAAGCAAACCCAGATGTTGGAGGAGCTCATTGGTTAATTTATTGTATGAACAATGCTGACTGCAATTAGTGAGTACTGCTGATGGCACAGAGGCCATAAAGTCAGGGAGTAAAAAAGACAAATTTTACATATTAAAGGAAAATATGCTCGCTGAAGATAGGAGGATAATAAGTGTGCAGCTGCCAGGGCAGTGCTGATCCTGCTGCCAGGGTGCAGGGCAGCAGGAGACCATGCTGTGCTGTGCAAGGCTGCTCCAGCCCTGGGCACTGAGGCTCTTCCCCCGCACAACTAGGGGAAGACTCTGGTTTGAAATGAAAGAGCATGCCATCATGACAAATCAGTTTTGACAGCAGGTCTCAGCCAAAAATGATATGATATTCTCCTTCCCTTGTTTCCAGTAGATGATGACCAAGATGCTTTGGACAAATGCCTCCTCTGTCTATCCTCCAACATGGGGCCAATATTAAATCAGATTTTACAGAGCTACAGGTTTTTAAAGGATAATTTTCTGTTGTGATTTCTGCACAAAACAAACAAGGACAGAGAACCTCCTTGCCCAGGCTGCTTTGGCTGTGGAGTCCCTTAGCTGAGCAGCCAGACCCCACCCCATGGGAGCTTTGGCAGCAGCAGGGCCCAGCATGGGCCGGTAGCACCGTGGGATGCACAGCTGGAGAGCCTGTGCAGGGGGGAGCTGCTGCCTCACTTTTGGACCTGCTCTTTACCTTTATGTCCCCAAACATTGCTGGCAGGTTGTGTGTCTTCGTTCCCAAGTCCAGGTGGTACAGGATGTCCTCCTCCATCAAGTCCAGGTGTGGGTTTCTAACAAGGACAAGCCCAGTCCTGCAGGGAGACAATGAGGAGATGGGTTGGGGCACCAGGCAGTGCCTGCAGGGAGGTGGACAGGTGGAAGTGGGGCACAGGGCAGCCTGGAAGCTCCACAAGGGTACACACAGCCTTGGCATTGGACAAGGGATGAAACAGGGACAAGGGACAAGCCAGCTGTGTGTAGTGTTTGGACTAGCTGTCTTTCTGCTCCAGGTAACCTCTTTGACACATCTGTTATTATATCTACGTATTTGGCAAAAAATATGTCTCGGTATTTGTCAATTTTGTCAATGGCTACCTTAGCTCTTTCCTTTATAGGGTTTTGCCAGCAATGTCCAGGGGTGATCTACTGTGCTGTTTTCTATGTGACAGTTTATTAGGCTCTTGGCAAGTCAGGATTTCACACTTGTCCCAAATAACTGCCTGGCATGGTGAGTGCAGACACTGCAGGCAGCCAGAGGCCAGCTTGCTGTCCCTTTCCACCTGCTCTAAGGGAAGCAAATAACTAACAATGCAGGTTAGTTTTATAAATGGGGCTTAAAGAAACCCAGAGAACATTTTTCTTCTCTTATTGAAACAAATTCAGATGTTCCCCTGTTACTCACCTCGAGTAACCTGTTGTTTCGGTCATAGTGGCTCCGCCAGAGTCCGCTGAAAGCGATATCCTGCCAAAAAGGTAAGGAAAACACTGCCTGTGTTCTCAGCTGTCCAGGTTTAGAGCTCGGAAGAGGTTTCAAGGGGATGTGCAGGGGGTTAAATACCTCCTGTGCTTTGTGCAGCTCCCAAGGTCAGCAGTGGCCAGTCCCACTCCTGTGTGCCAAGATTCCTCCGTGGCTGGCATGGTTCCTCCCAGACTGCCTTTTTGGGCAGGTGCGTCACCAGTAACCTTGACTGGCGGCCCTAGGGCCGGGGCCAGGGGCCTGCTGACCCTCTGGCTGGTGACATTGTGCCCTCTGGCTGGTGGGGAGGGCACCGGGCACGTGGCTGCACATGTGGGGAGATGGTTTGTCTGAGCTGGATGTTGCTATGCTACCCCCAGGCTGTGTTTCCTCAGCCCTGGGGACTGAAGGACAGCCTGGCCACAGCTGCTGGCGTGGACAGTTCTTCTGGCTGAGCTGTTCTCTGACCCCAGTAGGTGCAAATCCAAAACATCCCTGCATTTGTCTGGGGTGCACAAAACCGGAATTTGGGCTGTAGCCAACCTCCAGCCCTGCTCAGAACAGCTCCTGGACCACCAGCCTGGCCTGGGGAGGCTGATTTCGCTCTCAGCAATGCCCAGACAGTGCTGTTGGCTCTCATGGTCCACCCAGCCCCATCTCAGCCCAGGAACCCATCAGAACAGTGTGCAGTGTGCCAGGCACAGCCTTGCCCAGCTCCCAGTCCAGGGCAGGCAGAGTGCTTGTGGGGCTGCAGGATGAGTGTGTGATGCTCCCGCAGGAGCAGGAGGAGACTGGAGATACTGGTCCTGCTTCCTGTCCCAACGACAGGAGGCACTGCCCTGGAAGATATTTCAGGCAGCTGCTGGAGGGGCAGAATCTGGCATTTGCTGCTGGCCTCTGGGAATTGTCAGTGGAAGCTCTGATAATTAGCGAAGTGATAGGTAATTAATTACTGGGTGAAGGCACATTGCGTGGGGCTCACTTGCACCCTGCATTCAGGCAGTGATGCAGTCCTGCTTTCCTAATGGGGAGGGACAGAAATTATTGTAACTGAGGAAGCCTTTCCCTGAGCAAATGCCCATTTTGCTACCCATCCAAACACTCTAAATTGCAAAATTCTGTGTAAAAATAAGCAAACACTGCAAGCCAGTGGCCTGGGAACATGTAAATTGGGTACCTTGCCCAATATAGGGTCAGGATAGCTCTGAGAAGGGGAAGGAGCAGAGCTCTCAGGGATATTTCAGGCTTGCTGGAGTCATACCAAAGGCAGGCTGGAAGGATTTCTCTGCTCTGATGAAGTTCTCCCTCCCTGGATGCTGTTCACATATGCCTGCCAAAAATGACTTATTACTGATGCTCTAAAGCACTCCCGAAAAGTAAGGATCTGGAGACTCTTCTCCCTTTCAGAATGCACCAGATTTCTGCGAGGGGCACAGAAAAAGTTTCCTTGAGGCTGCACACACCTTCTGCCTGCCGAAGTCGCTTGGTGTGATTGCTGTGGTTTCGGGCGCACAGCGGATTGTGCAGTGGGCTCCGTGCAGAGCTTCCAGTTGTGTCCAGTGAGAGTTACCTGATCTGGAGAAGAGAGCAGATGGTTTGCTGCTGCTTGCCAGAGGTGGCTGGAAATGCTCTGGGGAGGTGGGATTGGGCTGAGGCTTCCTGTGGATTCTTCTCCTTCTCCAGTCTTGTCTGGTGGAGGAACATGAGGCCCTGGCCCTGCACCCACCTCCAGCACAGCTGGGCAGGGCTTTCATCGGGGACCAAAGGTTCAGCAGAATGGTGGATGGACGAGTGGACAGACAGACAGACAGCTGGACACCTGAGTGACTCTGTGGCAGGGCATGAGTGTTCCCACATGCTGCCTGGGGTGGTAAAGGCAGTGCTGCCACGTGTCCCCTTTCTCTGCCTGTCTTCCATGGCAGAGTATTTCTGGACATACCTGGAAGGGTCCACACCTCCATGGTTCAAACCATCCCACAATAAAACAAATTTCCCAAGCACATGGATAACTTCTTAAATATTTTCTTATGAAAAATAGTGTTCCAGCACAACCTGCTGGGATATCCCTGCCTGGTGGTCAGCAAAGCCCCTGCCCTGCCCTGCTACAGCCTCTGCCCTGGTGTGCTCAGTCCCAGGCAGGGACCTCCCCTGTGCTGGCAAAAGTGGCAAGATTTTGGAGGGTGTCCCTGCTGAGTGAGCAGGGACAGAGTCCCCTGGAGCCACAGCTCTATCTGGAATGTCAGGCTGAGAATGGTGGGCAAGCAATGTTCCTGCAGTGTTTGTCCCTGCTGTGCCCAAGGTAAAAGGAACCAGTGTGTTCTGTTTAAGTAAACATGATTGCACCAAGGGAAACGGTTGGATTGTGCTTTTGGCTTCCCAGAAGTGACGTTGAAGAGAAGGGACAGCAGTCACCACCATGGCCATTCAGGTTGCAGGGCCTGTCTGGCTCAGGTCAGCTCCCTGCCTGGCCAGTACGAGCAGTCCCTCACCTTTGGTTCCTTTGTCCATGATTGTTTTTCCCATGGTTGGTCTTCTTTGGGATGGCTTTCAGTAAATCCCAAACTGAAGTGCGGCTGTTCTTTTCCTACCTCTCCTGCTTTTCATGGCAGAGGCTGCAGAATGGAATGGAATAGAATAACACAAATGAATAGAATAGAATAGAATAGAATAGAATAGAATAGAATAGAATAGAATAGAATAGAATAGAATAGAATAGAATAGAATAGAATAGAATAGAATAGAATAATGGACTAGGATAGGATGAAATGCTAAAATAAAATGCTTTCAGTTGAAAGGGACCTGCAGTGCTGATCTAGCCCAGCTGCCTGCCTGTTTCTCTTCCTGAGCGTGGGGATGGTGAGAAGCAAAGAGCACTGCCCCAAATGAGTGTTTGTTTGTGCCTGATTCAGAGCTAAATCCAGCCTCTCCAAGTGCCAGGCAGTGGAGCTGTTACCATATGTGCTAGAGGATGACAAATAAAGCACGATGAAATATACGGCAGAATAACATATGGCAGTGTAGACAGGCTCTCGGCAAGGGAAGAGATGGGGAGAGCCAGCGCTCCCCGCGCCCATCCGACACCTCTTGTCATGTTAAATGCTATTTTAGAGCAGACAGCGCTGGCAGCCTGTGCGCGGCAGGGAGCTCGCACCCGCCGTGCCCTGCCGGGGCTCTGCAGCCTTGCTCCCAGCGAGCCCCAACAGCTCCTTCTCCACTCGGCTGGTCTCTGCCGTCCCTCCCGCCGTGCTGCTGCTGCTGCAGCTCTGCCGAGCTGCCGATGACGAGATATTCCAGCGGCCCGGCGCCCAGCCCCGTCTGCGGCCGCCGGTCGGGCCGGGCCGGGCAGGCGGTGCCCGCCGCAGGAGTGAGCTCCGGGCAGGGCATGCCAGCCTGTGCCCGGCCCCGCCGCAGGAGTGAGCTCCTGGCAGGGACAGCCAGCCTGTGCTCGGCCCCGCCGCAGGAGTGAGCTCCGGGCGGGGCATGCCAGCCTGTGCTCGGCCCCGCCGCAGGAGTGAGCTCCTGGCAGGGCATGCCAGCCTGTGCTCGGCCCCGCCGCAGGGGTGAGCTCCTGGCAGGGCATGCCAGCCTGTGCTCGGCCCCGCCGCAGGAGTGAGCTCCTGGCAGGGACAGCCAGCCTGTGCTCGGCCCCGCCGCAGGAGTGAGCTCCGGGCAGGGCATGCCAGCCTGTGCTCGGCCCCGCCGCAGGAGTGAGCTCCGGGCAGGGACAGCCAGCCTGTGCTCGGCCCCGCCGCAGGAGTGAGCTCCGGGCAGGGACAGCCAGCCTGTGCTCGGCCCCGCCGCAGGAGTGAGCTCCGGGCAGGGACAGCCAGCCTGTGCTCGGCCCCGCCGCTCTGCTGCGATAGCAGAGAATGGGGCACATCGCAGTCCGAGGGATGGCTGGTGCATTCCTCTAGCGAGGATTGCTGGCAGTCGGCCTAAGGGAGCAGCAGAAGCACCGGGGAGTGTTTTACCTGACAGGAGGAAAGCCATGTGCCAGCAGCACAGCGATTTCCTGCTCTCCTTACCCGGCTTGTTCTGCGGAGCCAGGAAAGCAAAACGTGGATTTTTATCAGCTGTTTGCTCTGGCTCCGTGTTTTGCCTTGTTTATTATTGGTATAAAGCTGCTCTTGGCATTGGGACCAGACAGTAAAACACTCCCCAAAGGAACCAGGCTCCACAAAGCCTCGGGGCACTAGAGTAACTGCAGCTTGTCAGGACACGTTTCCCCTGAGGGGAAGCACTACCGCAAAGCCATTTATTTCAGGCAGAAATCAGCTGCCTGACCTGTGTTGCTATTCAGGATTTATTCAGTGGCTGCTGATCTGCCAGCCCCGGGTCGCTCCACAGGAGGGGCTGAGAGTGCTGCTGCTCCGCTGCAGGAATGTTCCTTCGGGCACTCTTCCTGCCATTCCCTCTCTGCAGCCTTGCCCATGGCAGGTGGGATTCGCCCTGGGAACAGGCAGGGATTTGCCTGCCGTGCCCCAGGGCAGGTGGGGGCCTGTGCCCACGCTCTGGGCGCCCTGCCCTGCTGGGCTGCCCAGGAGGTGAGGACACCAGGGTGGCAGCTACGCATGTCTGCCCTTCCAGGTTCAAGGAGCACCAGGCTGGCCCCACACAGGCCTTGGGTAAAGGGTTCTTCTTAGGTTTAAACCCAGTTTCTGGCTGGGGTTGGTGCTGGCTTGCTGCAGGAGCAGGGGTCCTGGCCCGGCTCTGCCTGGTTCTACATGGATTGCTGCTGCCCATCATGGACAGATGCCTTCCCTGGTCCCACATGGATCCACTTCAGCAGGAAGTGTTGCTTCTGGCATCTTGCTTCTTCCAAGACTTTGCTCCTTTCGTGCCTCCAGGCAGGATGAAATTGGTGAGAAGGAAGAGGAGCAGTGGGGCAGTTTGGCAACACAGACCTCTCATCCACTCTGGGGTAGGTTCCCCCTTGCCTTCCTCCATGCTGCTTTTTGTTCCCTTCCCACTGCAGGGGTGAGTGAGCTGCTCCAATTCTTCCCACCCCACAGGGATGGGTGAGCTATTGCCTGCTGGGCATACCCACAGAGGTTTGTGTAAATGTCCAGTTTGCTGTGACAGAGCAGACTCCGAATCGGCAGTGGAACCTGCAAGGGAGCCCCTCTCTGCTTGCTCCCTTCCTGCCCAGTGCTTTTCTGATCTCCAGGCTTTGAATCCAGATGGTGCCTGGAGTTTTTTCTCCCTTTTTCTTTTATTTTTCTTACACAGGTATTTTTGTCCTTTTGTCTTTTACT